CGATCTTGTTATTTTTGTATAAGTTGATTAAAATTTCTTTCTTTCCCAATAGACTTAATATTCAAAATTGGATGTTGGAGCAAACCTTGACCGTTGTTTTGCAAAAGCCAGAAGTTTCAGAAGATCTGTCTTCCAAGCTGCAAGACTAGACACTCTCCAGGATGTTTGGCTCAAAGCTGGAAAGCTGGAAGATCTTGATGGTGCTGTTCCATTCATGCAGGGATTTCTTCACATTGACAAGCATCCTCCGGATGCAAACCATGGATTTGATCTGCCTTCCCCAGTTATCACTTTCCCAAGGTGCTCTGTGTTCAAACAGTTCCAAAGTGATGATGTACTCGCATATTTTGGCTGTTATTCAGGTCGTCAATTTTTTTTTTCCTTCCAAGTCTGGGTTTTGTCTTTGCTCTCCTCTTACAGAGACAGCATCCAATGCAAATATATAGCAAAGTTTCATTGATGCAACTGGCCACTGGATTTCAGCATGCAGTAACGTGATCACCCTAATGTGCATGGTTCTTGCGCTGTACTTTGATTCACTGTTAAACACTCTGAGGCGAAGAATAGGTGAGGAAGAACGAGAAAGCAAAGGTACCTAGAGTTATCTCCCCATCTATTCCAAGCTCTTGTTCTTAAGCCATTTGTTCTTGACAAGCAAAAGGGAAGAAGCCGGGGCTTCTGAACCAAAAGCTCAAGTGGCTGAGAAACGAGAAGCACATGAGAGTGATCAAGGTGATACTGGTGGTGATAATTGGTGTGGCTGTAAATCACTACTTGAGCTCATCATGATGGCACTCTGGGCTCTTGGAGAAATCATTCTGTCCACAGAGGTATTTTGACAGAACAAAAAAGGTGAAAATTGGTGCTTGCATTTTAGCTTCTCTTGTAGCTTCCGGGTGATAAAAACTGCTCTTTGCTAGATCCACGGAGGAAGATGTACAAGTTAAAAACTTTTTTCTTGAGTTGGATACTATAACTGTATAGGCTTGAAATGGGTTTTTCTTTGAGGAGTTTAGGATCAAGTGTCCATTCTTGCCTTTGAAGGATCTGTGCTTGGCTGGTTTTATATCTTTCATGCATCCTGGCAAAAACGAAGTAGCAAAGTTGCTGCATTGCAAGCTATGCTACACTTTCTTGTGTTTACTATTAAAGCTAGCAATAAGGAGAAACTTTAAGCAAAAGAAGTATAAGTGGAGGACTTTTGTTCCACATTAGTAGGTGTAATGTTGCCTCTGCAAGTGCCACCCTTTTCCACTGTAACTCCTGGAGGGAGGTGAGTATTGTCTTTCCTTCTGTTGTTCAAGTGCTGGTGTTTTTGCTTTACTTAAGAGTTGATTGTAATTTTTATTATTTGTTAAACAATGTTGAAATTTTTTAGAAAACTATTTGAATTAGGATGAGGGATAGCTTTTCATTGTTATCTAATTATGCTAAAAAATGTATAAAAAGATGTTATTAACTAACTAAACTTTATAAACTATAACCTAAATATGAAGATGGCCTTCTTTATTTTGTAGAAACAAATCCTGATGATCATTTACATCTGGTGGTGCCTTCCATATTACTTCCACAATTTCTCCATGCTTACCATAATTCTCTTATTCTAGGTAGACATATAGGACATTATCATGTGACCTCCTCGTCTAGAAAATCCACAAATGCTAAAAGAATAGGCTCGTCAAAAACATGAGAAGAGAGTGAAGAATGAAGAGGAGCTCGAGAAATAGCATCAGCATCAGCCATAGAACTCCCCAAGTGATGAACAACATTAAAATCATATATTTGAAGCTTCAAAACTCATCGAGCAATATGACCAACTAAGTTTTTCCACTTCAATACTGAAGTAATAGCAGCATAATCACCTTTTAGTAACGTCCGAAAACCATGTAGATATGCATGAAGTTTCTTGAAACCCCAAACTGCTACTAAACACTCCTTCTCTGTCATGGAGTAATTCATCTCTGTTGGTTGTAATGTATAGTTTATATATGCAATGAGATGGCACTAACCAGGCACACTTAGACTCTCTTGCATCAACACACCTCCAAAACCAATATCAAAAGCATCCACACTCAAAATGAAAGATCAAGTGTAGTTAGAATATGCCAAAATTGGAAGAGTCCTCAATAGCTCTTTGAGATCCATGAACACCCGCTCACAAGCTGGAGACTAAATAAAAGATGACGTTGATAACTTCAACAATGCTTACAATAGTGTAATATGATAAAAAAATGATCCACAAAACGACTAAGATACTGCACCTTCCTAGGAAGTGCTACACATCATTCACATACTTCGGAGTATAGAACTTTAGAATAGCCACAAATTTGTCAAGATCAACTTGCAAACTCTCATGAGAAATACAGTACCTAAGATAAGTTGTGTCCTTGTACCTAAATACGCAGTTCGACTGCTTTAGCTTTAAACTAACATCATGTAGCTGATCCATACACACAATTAGGTCTGCCTCATCCCATGCATATACATGTGTATAGCTATTGCCATAAAAAATGAAAATTGGCTCCATTGCACGACGCAAGTGTAGATGGCAATGTGTAGCAACAGCTTGAGCAATAGAACATAAACTTAAACCTATATCAACTAACACGGAGAGAATAATAAGAGACCTTTTATTTTAAAAAGGAGCTCATACGAATGCTTATATTAATAAAAATGAGCTCATATGAATGTTCATATTAATAAATATTTATATTGTTGTGATAACATTTATGAAATTGTTAGCATATTTGAATGGTTTTTCAATAGTAGAACAAGGAGTTATTACTAATCTTTCTAATGTTATGGCACAATATATATTTCCAGTGTTTAGCAAAATAAAATTTTATGGAATTTCACTAAAGAGTAAAGATTGATATTCTTACTACTTTTTTCAAAATGCCACATAATGGAAACTTCATTGAAACACCCAAATAAAATTTTATAAACTTTAAATTTAATATATAAAATAAATAAATTTAGGATATAATTGTTATGTTTACAAATATCTAAAGCAAAAATGAACTATAGCTTATTTACACTATACTATACACAATTGAAAAATAAAAACTTTTAAATTTTAATTTCTAAAATTCAAAAAGATATATAAGTTTCTTTTGAAGTCAATATAATAGTTAATCCTTGTTCTAACTTTTTAAATTAATTGTAATCTAAAATAAAAAAAGAGTAAATTTATAGAGTTTTTAGTTTAACAACTATAGTAAAGTCATTTTTCTTAGAAGACAATTGTAATTGACATTGTTGTAGGTAACAAAATCAAACTACTTGCCAAATAGGAGAAATCTTTGCATAGGATAAATAAACCTCCTTAAATGGAATGATCTAGAAAGCAACAGTCGAATTATGCCATAAAATCTCAAATTCACAAATACTAGAACTAACAAGATATGTACACTATCTATAAGTATATATATTTCCTGGATCACCCTTCAATAGGACAATGTATTCAACAATTTTGAGTGCTAAAAAATTGAGTAAATTTTATTCAAACAGTAAGCTTGCCTACACTAATACCCATTGTGGAGTCACCAATGCAAAATTCTATGAGGCTAAAAGTGTTAGTTCTATTTTCATTGAGCTTAACAAATGGCACTATACACATGTCCCAGAAGTGCAAGAAAATTTGTTATCTATGAAAAGCCTTACTGATACTAGTGTTCAATTTTCTGGAGATCAACACAGTATTACTTTTTATTTTGATGTGGTCAAGGTGATGCACAGTACCTATTTACAAGTTTGATGCTATTTTAGTGCCTCTCCTTGTCAAAGAATCTAAGATGCACTGATTCTAGCATAAAAAGTATGAAAGTAGAAATGTCGCATACACTTTGGGATTGCTTGCTGATCCTGTATCCCACCTCCTATTGGTTATGGACAAGATCAGGCTTTTTTCACATTAAAGCCTTCCGTTCTTAATAATGTTATGAAAGATCAGTAGTCCAGTGGTGCCTTGGTTCGAGCTATGCAAAAGAATATTTGTGATAGTTACTCATTTTATGCCCTAGAAAGTTCGTGGCATTTGGTGCGGTGACAACTGGGACGCTTCCAGATAGAACAGAAAGTGGTAGTTCTGCACCATCAAGCTCCTGCTGCTCTCACTAGCAATAATCAAGAGGCACGAGAGATTTAGTTCTCCTGTGGCAGATCAATGCGGGGGTGATCCTAGGGAACTGTAATCACCCCTTTGGCGCTTGTCAAAAGCCTCGACCACGCTCTTGCTGGGAAAGTGTTAAAGCTGACAGTGAGGGTGGCGCCCTCCTTCGCATAAACCTTTCATGTAGACACCATGGAAGTCTGGCTAGTAAATATCCTTGATGCGTCTCAAGAATCGGGGTGATTTTTGGGTGCTAAAATCGGGAGGAGTATCAAGCTCGGGAGAAAAAGCGGGCTTGTTTGATTCCCCCAAACCCACCAGGCACATGGAGAACTTCGTCCACTTGAGCTGCCTGAGGATGGAATTGCCTGTTCGTGACAGGAATGGATGGTGAATGTGTGGCGTCGATGCTCCAAGCACAGCCCTGAACCTGGAAAGATCACACCGAAAGCTTACAAAGTCTACTTCTCTGGAAGTTCATACCTCTCAACCTTGGTCCCTGAAAACGTATCCCGCCGCCAGGGCGCCAAACACAAGGTCAGCGTCGAGAAAGCTACACTGCGAGGAGGAGGAGGAGCGACAGGAGGAGCGCCTGCGATCGATCATGTCTTGTCAATGGAATCAGACGAGACAAGAGAACCAGCTGCCAGGGCTGGAGCCGCCGCTGCGCCGATAGGCCAGGAAATGGATTATCACAGCAGTCTCCAGCTTGCCCACGTCAATCTGCGCAATGCTGAGGTGCTCCCGATGCCAGAGCATCCGCATTGATGATCGACGATGATTCAGTATTTGGTATTTACAAATATCGGGAAGAGAATCGAACCCGAAACGTTTGTTCTGGGAGACCGATGTCCTAAATGACTGGTCTAAGCTGTTTTTGTGAGCCGGCGAACCAGAATAATGGCTCCTTATTTAGCAAAATTTTTGCATAAAAGTCCTTGTTGAGTGGACCCTTCGGCATCGAACCCGGGTCTTCTACAACGGTTTACCTCTACACTTACCTGATAGCCATCATCTCGGGAACCGGGTTCCCGTAATAAAAAAATCATACCATGTACTTGAACCATATGACAGGGGTCTTTGCGAAATCCATGGCGTTTTTGTTAGATCGCCCACCAGACGAGATTATCCCCCGCATTCGTGCTGCTCGGCGTTTCGTCCTTGGCAAAGCCCCCTCTTGGGTTGTGAATCGAAATGGATCGTCAAGAGTTATGGCCTGGGTTGCAATAGAAACTCGCAGAGCAATCTCCACAGCCGCAGGAGCTTTGCGATCTTCTGCTGGTGTGAATCTCATCAGTCCCAAAACTCCACGTTTCGGCAATCCAACGAAACCTGTAGCGTGTGGCCATTCAAACGAACATACCTCGGTATCATCCTCGGCTGCCTCGATGCCTGGAGAGTAACAGTCCCGGGAAGAACCATCATTTGCCCGAAACGAAATGACGATGGATCCCCTTGCATTCCCGCTGCCAGCCAAGTACCAGCTTGTGTAGAACTGAGCCCGAGCCGGAGACCAATCCACCGGGGCTGAGCTCGCTGTGTGTGCCAGAAAAAGAGAGCCTGAAGAGGACGCGAGCACCCGACTTGGAGCAGGGCTGAGACTGAAAACACGACTGTCCGCGAAGTTGATGCCTGTTTCTTCGCTGAGATCTCCAGCCAAGTGCTTCGCCAAGCTCTCCTCCAGCTCCAGATAGACACTACTTGTAGTTGCAAGCGGGCACTTGCCTACCAGCTTTGAGCCAAACATGCTGGAGAGTGTCCAGTCTTGCAGCTTTCGGAAAACAACCTGCTCCAATGTCGTGCCTTCTTCGTCCCGATCGAAGTCACCGGAAGTGATAAGCAGCCTCTGGGAATGGTACATACCACTGTAAATCGTCTGCCTGTCCAGGAGCGTCGTGAGCCCAGCCTTGTCTCTACATGGGAGAAGCGTGAGCCATGGCGTGAGCCGTGGCATTCTACAGAGTGCTTCTCTCGGGAGTGCTCGCTCTTGCTCCATTTCTTTCCTTTCACCACCCTCTTCATGCCAGGAGCGTCGAAAGCTCCTCCTCCTCCTGTCCGGTTTGCCTCGGGCCTCGACGAGAACCACGGCCCCAAGAACGTAGTTGGCAATTCGAGGAAGTTGATCGATGCGCAAAAGAGGCCCGAGAGAGCGTGCGTGAGGTTTCCCCACGTCGAATCCACCTCTGCCTCTGGAAATGCCGTGAGCTCCACTCCCACTGGCTTGGCGGCGAGCTGCGCGATCGGATCGCCCACGCCCCAGCGCTCGTTGTTCCATCGCCCTTGCCATGTCTTTGATTCGAAACTTCCGGACCTGTTCCAAGCGATTCTTTCATCATCGTTTCGGGATTTGAGGATGGAAGATCGACAAAAGAAAGGGCAAAAAGAGGATAGGGTTCGATTTTACCTCTCCACTGAGAAACGTACTTGGAGTAAGAGTTCGCACCCTTGGAGGCATGGAGGGCAATGAGATCACTCTTCTGAAGGCCATGGGTGTTTGCACTGTGCTGGGAGATTCTCTCCAAGGGCAAGTAAATGTGTGCTTGAATTCTTTCTAGTAGTTGAGTTTATATGTATGGAAAGTGTGGGCTCATTGAGATGCATTTGATTGAGCAGGATGAAACACGATGATCAGTGTGTACGTGTTGCATGAGTGTGGTAAGCAAGCAATCCACCTCTATGCATACTTATGTACAAAATGAGTTGATGTTCTGCCAATGCTTGCTCAATGTTGCATGACCATTTGTTTGGTTGCAATTTTGTCTACCCAGATTGTTCTTATTAGCATGTATATTGAGTGCAATAGTCTTGAAGTGCAATTATCTTTTAGTGGAGTTTTGAGCCTTGGGTGATTGTCATTTAACGCATATACTTGCAAGACAATTACCAAGTAGGAAGGCCTGAGATAAAAAAAGATCACCTTCTCATGGTTTTAGATGCTTGTTTTTCTCTTGAAGTTCTTTGAACTGATAATCACATTTATAAGCTAAATGTATAAATATACATTTGTGATACATTTCTGTTTTGGTTGAGATGTCTCTATTGCCTAAGAAGTAAAGCAAGTCCTCATACCACAAAAAGGCGATGGATGTCTCCATCAATTGTTGAAATGCTCTCTTAAGGACTTAAGAACTACTAAAGAAAAGTGCAAGACATTTGGGAAGGAGAGATGTGAATAGGACCTTGCATGTTATTTTTGGTGTTGGATTAGTGATTGCTAAAGGAGCTATCTTGCCATCAATTTTCTGTTGATCAGTTTTTTTTTTTTTGTACTCATGTGGTTGTTATCTTTGCAAACTCTTCCTCAAAATCTTGATTGCATTGATCTATCCCATTGGAGCCTTTTGCTGGAAGATGACAAAGGTACATTCTCGATTGCACATTGCTTAAGCTGCTATTAATAGTAATCCGTCCCTTGTGTTACAATGCTATTATCAATGAATGGTTGTTTCTAAACATGTTAAAAACGTGGTGGTCATAGCTCTGGATGAAGCTTCCAACACCTCTTTGTGCTGTGAGTCTTGATGTTGCAATGGGACCAATACCAAGAGTGTGGAGCACATTGTGGCTTCTCAGACTGTTGTAAGCAGCAAGTATAGAATTTTTGGAATATTTTCTTTTGGATTTACTACTACTACTTCTAGATGATTTCCTTGTACCTTACAAGCTCCATCAAAGACTTTTTGATCACTGTAAGAATTTCATCATCAATAGCGGTAGAAGCAGTAGGTATATGAGAGATAGTTGCATATAAAGCTTCCAACAAGAGAGGGAGGAAAGCCCCCTCAACCCTAGAGATACTGAGCTCCTGGAGAAAAGCACGCTCTAAAATCTTAGCAACTACAAAAGTTTTATGACATGTCCAAAAACTGCTGTTCCACACACTCCTTTCAGTAGGCACTAAAACACATTACATACTCTAGCATTGACTCGCAAGCTCTTTGTCGAAAGGTAAAGAAGTCTATGAGCAAACAATTTACTACCCATTATTGATCAAAATATGATTTGAATGAAGCCTTGAACATGGTGTAGTCCACTATATCTGCCTTCAAAAGAGTCTTTGCCTATATTGTTGCTCGGCTGATAAGCGATTGAGAGGTCTCGAAACTTGTCATCATCATTGCCAATGTCATTTGATGCATAATATTACTTATGTGTGTCTTGGGCAAGATGTCTCCATTGCCTAAAAAGTAAGGCAAGTTCATCCTATATTGCATAATATGGATTTGAAGATGAACTGCTATAGGTAATAGATGCCAACACTCACTATTTGCCGAAGTCTCTAAATCCTTAGATGAAAGAGCCATTTGATATTATAGCTCATAATGGATACGTGAATAATGACTATTAACTTGAGGAATATTGTTGATAGTAAGCAGACATCGAATATGTGTGGATCTACTATGAATGGGCATAAAATAACATAATCAATACAAATGCTAAGTTATGGCAAATGCTCATAGAGTGAAAACTTCCTAGCTGTTGGAATGCTCTTAATCTAATGCAAAGATCTCATCGCCAAAAAGCATGGCTAGAGAATTTAAGGAGAACCTTAAAATTTGTCACTCACCAACATTCATATGTTCATAAAGACAAAAATGTGAATATCTTGATCTCAACAATCATGAGCAAGAGTGCATTAAAAAGTCCTTAATGTCATTTACATAGCCCTAAAAAGAAAAATGGCTAAATATACCCAAAATTGAGTGAAAACAGTTGAAACCACCCATTATACTCAAAATAAATGAGCAAGTGGGAAATTGCTTCAAACTTCATATATTGGTATCAAATGTTACATGTAAACACATGATAGAAAGATTTAATGAACATTTATCTAAGATATTTATGAAAGATGAAAATGATGTTGAAACTAGAAAAAAGAATCCCTTTAAAATCTTGACAATATGGTATGTGACAAAAACAACATCAAAACTCATGATTCTTTACGAATTCCCTTGCAAAAAAGGACTTTTATAAAAGCTAGGAAGCATGGAGAAATTTATAAAAGAAATTTAAAAAAATGCTTAGGAAATCTTGCCATTAAATCTTTAGAACTCAACTGTGAAAGGAGAAGAAAGAAGAGAGCAAGAAAAGATGAAAAAATCTCCCCACTTCTTGCACTACACTCATTAAGAAGCATCTTTTAAAATTCTCATGACCAAATCTAAATGCCCATTCAAATAATTCTCCAAATTAATGCAAGAATCTCAAACTTAAACTTCTAGAAATAAATTATGAAGACAAGGGTAAATTGTGAGAGAAAAATGCTTGTATGCAGTTTGATTCTCCACCAAATCACGTGTTCTTTAACTCTCTAGAAAGAATAGGAAAAACTACTTCAACTCAAATAAAGCACAACCAAAATTAATGCTTCTATCACTAGAAATCTCTCCAAAATTGAGTGAAATAAAGTAAAGTGGAAAAACAACATCAAAAACTCTAGATTTATGAGTTTGTGTTTCAAATTCGTGCAAGGGGGAGCTTTTATTAGTGCCAAAAATCCCCTAAACATGAATCTAGCAACTAGAACTCCAAAATCTCTTTATCCATCCAAAAAATTCTTTCATTCTCCAAAGAAAGCTAAATTAATCTTTCACATTGGGTTCACCACTTGTTGGGAGATGAGGGTTATTTCTCAACATCTCTAACTCTACTTCTGAAATACTTTATCACAAACTTAAGCTCTTTTCAATTGCCCTAAATACCCTCCTTACCCTTTCTCACTTGCATATAAAGATAAAGGTATATTCTAGGAATCAAATATTCCTAGTGCTTTAAATTATTCTCTTATCCTAACAAAGTCACACTTGCTCTCGACATACTCCTTTAGCATCTTGTTATAAATCAGAATGTTGTTAATGTAAACAACCACAAAGTGATTTAAATAGATATAATGATGTAGTTCATTAGCACCAAGAATGTTATTAGCACATTATACAAATTGAAGGGCATCACTAAGAACTCAATATTTTCATATTTTGTTTGCTGGTTGTCTTCTCAATATCTTCCTTTACTACTTTGATCAATATAATAACCTTAGGATAATTTTTGAGAAATATTTTGCATGTCCCAACCTATCAAATAGATCCTCAATCCTTGGTAACAGGTCCTTGTTCTTCTTGGTATATTTTTTAATCAATTGGTGGTTTATACCCATACATATAAAGCCATTTTTCTTTTTCATAAATGACACCAATGCAAGTAACTAAAGGGAACAACTCAAGAGACGGTCCATAGGGTTCAAATATAAAGAGAAAGGGCCCATGAATAAAAAAGAGTGCACCCTTTTTTCCAATTGATTAAGGGTTTTGGGATATTTGGGGTTAAGTGTCCTTGGGTTTGAATAGTACTAAGCTGGATGACCTCCCGGGAAGTCCAAATTTAGGAGTTTACATTTGGTATCAAAAGGGTCTCGAGTCCGACTTTGTTGGTTGGCTAGGGGATTTACACCACATGTTGATTGACATTTGGTAAGTCCAATTTACTCCCCCTTTTTGTAATTGGTTAATGGTCTTGTGATATTTGTGGTTAAGTGTCCTTGGGTTTGAATAGTACTGGGCTGGGTGACCTTCCGGGAAGTCCAAATTTAGGAGCTTATAACTAATGCCCTATATAACAATTTGCTCAACTTATCAACTAAGTCCTCAAGTTAACGTTTAACTTCCTTTTCATTCAATTGATAAGGGGGAGGAACCACTACTTTAACACCCTCGACCAACTTAATATTATATTCAATCAATTAAGCAGGGGGTAACTTTACTAAAAACACCTTTAGCATGGTATCTTGAAATTTATTTATCACATGTTACATCACTAAGGGTATTCTTTTGTTCTTGCCTTTTTGTTGTTTTTTATCAAGAGTAAATGCTACTTTGGTTCCTTTAGCAAGCAATCTTTTATAGACATTAGGTTCAAGTAGGACTCTTTAGACCTACTTTGCCCTATTTTTAGATCTTGGGCCTCCACCCTAAATTTCATTAAGGGCATTCACCAATACTACTAGATTTTTACCTTATTCATGCAAGGTTATTATAAACTGATTGAACCAATCCATCCCAAAGATTATATTAAATCCCGCAATGTTCAAAGCGGTGAAATCCATATCCACTGTCTACGCCCTTACTTCGACTTTTGTTTATCGAAGTACCTCATTAGTGTTTTGGCTACCTTGAACAAACTTTATGGTCTTCGATTCTTTTAGCTATTGCACCATTAGTTTAGGTTGCTGGACTATATCTATAGTCACAAAATTTTCTGAAACACCTATGTTAATAAGGATTTTAACAGATTTATTTTTCAGTTTGCATCAGAGAGGTAATAAATGTTGCAAATGACTCTTTACCAAAGTTTCTTATGTAATAAATAACTTTCAATTAGGGACTAGATTACATACCTCCATTTGACTTAACTTGATTTAACAACCATGTTCATTTTAGCCTTCTTTGAGTAGGGACATTCTTTGGAAAAGTGTTTAGCCTCGCCGCAATTAAAACATATATTATTCCCCATGTTACTAGTGGATTTGACATTTTTATTGGTAGATTTGTCTCTCTTGACTTTGACTCCCCCACGTGCTTGCTCTCTAACCACTAGATTTACCTTTTCGAAACTTCAAAA